ATGGCTCCGGATCCATCAATCTGGCCTGGAGCACAGAGGAACCGGTGATAACCTTTGTTCTCCAGACCCAGTTACTGTTTCATAATCACACCCCTCAGCCAAAACTTTATGACCATGCAGCGTGTCCTCATGACCCCAGAGGGCCGTGGCTGCAGCGGGGACGGCGGAGCGATGTGTACGTTTAGGTTGTGATGAGTGGATTCGTTTGTGTTTACGGGAGTTTTTGCTTCCCTCCGAAGGGAGAAGCAGACGTTTGCCACCACACGACCCTCTGCTGTCCTGCTGGAGCAGCTGGCTGTGTGTGTGGCTAAAGGAGAACCCGTCCTGCTGGTGGGAGAGACGGGCACGGGGAAGACCTCCACAGTGCAACACCTGGCCACGGTTACAGGTGAGCTCAGATTCTCTCACACACACGTCTGCTCAGCTCCTCCACCCGGGTGCACCTCCAGTCAGTGTGTGTGTGTGTGTGTGTGTGTGTGTGTGTGTGTTGACCACAGGAAACCGGCTGCGGGTGGTGAACATGAACCAGCAGAGTGACACCGCTGACCTCCTGGGAGGGTGAGTGAGTCCCTAACTCTCTACCTCCTGTATGGACGATCACAGTGCAGGGAGACATTGTGGTTTCCTGTGAGCCCAAGTGTTGTTCTCACCTGTGTAACCAGTTTAGCGCTGACCTGTACCAGTGGAAATGAGGTTGTGAGTCTGAGTCCTGCTGCCGGACGCAGACGTTCTGATCTGATGTCCCTCTCAGGTACAAGCCCGTGGACTGCAGACAGATCCTGCTGCCTCTGCGGGAGGTCTTCGAGGATCTGTTCTCCCAGACCTTTTCCAGGAAGCAGAACCTGACCTTCCTGGGTCATGTTCAGACCTGCTTCAGGGAGAAGCGCTGGCAGGATCTGCTCGGGCTCATGAACCACGTGTGCAGGTCGGCTCTGGCCAAAGAGCTGAAGGACAAGTCCAATGGTAGGACACCAGAAAGACGTGGACAATGCTGGCTGCTGTGAGCTAACACTGGTGTGTTTGTGTGTGTGTGTGTGTGTGTGTGTGTGTGTGTGTGTGTGTGTGTGTGTGTGTGTGTGTGTGTGTGTGTGTGTGTGTGATCAGCTGCCACCCTGAGGGAGCAGTGGGAGACTCTGGCTTTAAAACTGACTCAGACTCAGCAGCAGATGCAAGTTTGTGAGAGGACCATGCTTTTTGCCTTTGTGGAGGTACACACACACACACACACACACACACACACACACACACACACGTGCAGATGCTTTGATGTGGTGTTAGAGCTCTAAACGTGTGTGTGTGTGTGTTCTACAGGGAACTTTAGCTCAGGCGGTGAGGAAGGGCCACTGGGTCCTGCTGGATGAGATCAACCTGGCGGCAGCAGAGACTCTGGAGTGTCTGAGCGGACTTCTGGAGGGCCGGGCTGGATCTCTGGTTCTGTTGGACCGTGGAGACACGGGTAAGGCTGCAGGGTTCACCTAGCCCTGAAATCTAGACGGAAAGTTGGTGAAGCGAAATGTTTTTGCTCTCCTTGTCGTCGTCTCGCCAGGCTCCTTCCAGCAGGTCTACCTCTGGTCTGAGCAGTCTTGTGTTGTGCCAGTCCAGATGTGACGAGCAAAACAAAGATGGCGGTGGCTCATTTGAAATTACTTTGACCAGGGTTGAGAAACCCTGGTCCTTAGCGCCTCCCTGTCCTACATGTTACCCATGTTGCCCTTTCACACACCAGCGTTTCTCTGCTGCCACACACCTGACTTAAATTAATGATTAACAGGCTTCTGCAGCACTTGATGTCCTCCTGAGGAGGATATTCAAATGAATCAGGTGTTTTTGAAGCAGAGACGTAGAAAACATACGGAGCAGGGGGGTGTTGAGGACCAGGGTTGAGGAACCCTGATCTAGACTTGGTGTGACGTGCGGTGAGGTTCATGGGGAAGCACTGCACTGACAGAAAGAGTCAGTTGGACTTACAAAATCGAGTCATGTACATCGGTGGCATGAAAATTGTACAAGCAGGGCAAAATGAAACGGTCAAAGACTAAGATAACAATGGCATCAATAGAACAATGCTGCACTGACGATCCCATAAAGCGATAACATCACCTAGAGTGCAGCACACACCTGCCTGAATAAGTGGATTTTGAGAAGAGATTTAAAATGTTACACAGAGGTGGTCGAGCAAATCGAGGATGGGAGTTTATCCCAAAGCCGAGGGGCTTGTGAGCCGAAGGACAGAAGACCCATAGATGACTAGCCAACTTGTGTAGTCAGTGAGTGGCTGGTAGATGAACGGAGAGTGTGCGAAGGTGGAAGAATGTTTGTTACGTAAAAAGATGCAAGATTATGTAGAGCTTTAAATGTCAATAAGAGAATTTTAAATTGAATACGAGAAGCAACTGGCAGCCAGTGCAGCTCAGCAAGAACCGGAGTAATATGTTGTGAAAGCGATACACACGTGTTATTAGACCACGATACACGCGTGTTATTAGACCACGATACACACTTCTTATTAGACCATGATACACACGTGTTATTAGACCACGATACACACGCGTTATTAGACCACGATACACGTGTGTTATTAGACCACGATACACGTGCGTTATTAGACCACGATACACGCGTGTTATTAGACCACGATACACGCGTGTTATTAGACCACGATACACGCGTGTTATTAGACCACGATACACACGCGTTATTAGACCACCATACACACGTGTTATTAGACCACCATACACACGTGTTATTAGACCACCATACACACGTGTCATTAGACCACGATACACACGTGTTATTAGACCAAGATACACACGTGTTATTAGACCATGATACACGCATGTTATTAGACCATGATACACGCGCATTATTAGACCACCATACACACATGTTATTAGACCACGATACACGCGTGTTATTAGACCACGATACACACGTGTTATTAGACGACGATACACACGTGTTATTAGACCACGATACACACGTGTTATTAGACCACGATACACGCGTGTTATTAGACCACGATACACATGCGTTATTAGACCACCATACACACGTGTTATTAGACCACGATACACGCGTGTTATTAGACCACGATACACGCGTGTTATTAGACCACGATACACACGCGTTATTAGACCACCATACACATGTGTTCTTAGACCACCATACACACGTGTCATTAGACCACGATACACACGTGTTATTAGACCACGATACACACGTGTTATTAGACCACGATACACACGTGTTATTAGACCACGACACACACGTGTTATTAGACCACGATACACACGAGTTATTAGACCACGATACACACGAGTTATTAGACCACGATACACACGAGTTATTAGACCGCGATACACACGTGTTATTAGACCGCGACACACACGTGTTATTAGACCACGATACACACGTGTTATTAGACCACGATACACACGTGTTATTAGACCACAACACACACGTGTTATTAGACCACGACACACATGTGTTATTAGACCACGATACACACGTGTTATTAGACCACGATACACACGTGTGTTATTAGACCACGATACACACGTGTGTTATTAGACCACGATACACGCGTGTTATTAGACCACGATACACGCGTGTTATTAGACCACGACACACACGTGTTATTAGACCATGATACACACGCGTTATTAGACCACGATACACACGCGTTATTAGACCACAACACACACGTGTTATTAGACCACGATACACACGCGTTATTAGACCACGACACACACGCGTTATTAGACCACGATACACGCGTGTTATTAGACCACGATACACGCGTGTTATTAAACCACGACACACACGCGTTATTAGAACACAATACACACGTGTTATTAGAACACGATAAAGACGTGTTATTAGACCACGACACACGCGTGTTATTAGACCACGATACACACGTGTTATTAGACCACGACACACACGTGTTATTAGACCATGATACACACGCGTTATTAGACCACGATACACACATGTTATTAGACCACGATACACACGCGTTATTAGACCACAACACACACGTGTTATTAGACCACGATACACACGCGTTATTAGACCACGACACACACGCGTTATTAGACCACGATACACGCGTGTTATTAGACCACGATACACGCGTGTTATTAGACCACGACACACGCGTGTTATTAGACCACGACACACGCGTGTTATTAGACCACGACACACGCGCATTATTAGACCACGACACACGCGCGTTATTAGACCACGATACACGTGTGTTATTAGACCACGACACACGCGTGTTATTAGACCACGACACACGCGTGTTATTAGACCATGACACACGCGTGTTATTAGACCACGACACACGCGTGTTATTAGACCACGACACACGCGCGTTATTAGACCACCATACACGCGTGTTATTAGACCACGACACACACGTGTTATTAGACCACGATACACGCGTGTTATTAGACCACGATACACACGTGTTTTTAGACCACGACACACACGTGTTATTAGACCACGACACACACGTGTTATTAGAACAAGATACACACGTGTTATTAGAACAAGATACACACGTGTTATTAGAACAAGATACACACGTGTTATTGGACCACGATACACACGTGTTATTAGAACAAGATACACACGTGTTATTAGACCACGACACACACGTGTTATTAGAACAAGATACACACGTGTTATTAGAACAAGATACACACGTGTTATTAGAACAAGATACACACGTGTTATTAGACCACGACACACACGTGTTATTAGAACAAGATACACACGTGTTATTAGAACAAGATACACACGTGTTATTAGAACAAGATACACACGTGTTATTAGACCACGATACACACGCGTTATTAGAACACAATACACACGTGTTATTAGAACACGATAAAGACGTGTTATTAGACCACGACACACGCGTGTTATTAGACCATGATACACGCGTGTTATTAGACCACGATACACACGTGTTATTAGACCACGACACACACGCGTTATTAGACCACGACACACACGCGTTATTAGACCACAACACACACGTGTTATTAGACTACGATACACGCGTGTTATTAGACCACGACACGCGTGTTATTAGACCACGACACACGCGCGTTATTAGACCACCATACACGCGTGTTATTAGACCACGACACACACGCGTTATTAGACCACGATACACGCGTGTTATTAGACCACGATACACGCGTGTTATTAGACCACGACACACACGCGTTATTAGACCACGATACACGCGTGTTATTAGACCACGATACACGCGTGTTATTAGACCACGACACACGAGTGTTATTAGACCACGATACACACGCGTGTTATTAGACCACGACACACACGCGTTATTAGACCACGACACACACGCGTTATTAGACCACGACACACACGCGTTATTAGACCACGATACACGCGTGTTATTAGACCACGACACACGTGTGTTATTAGACCACGACACACGCGTGTTATTAGACCACGACACACGCGTGTTATTAGACCACGACACACGCGTGTTATTAGACCACGATACACACGTGTTATTAGACCACGATACACACGCGTTATTAGACCACGATACACACGCGTTATTAGACCACGATACACACGCGTTATTAGACCACGACACACACGTGTTATTAGACCATGACACACACGTGTTATTAGAACAAGATACACACGTGTTATTAGACCACGATACACACGCGTTATTAGAACACGATACACACGTGTTATTAGAACACGATAAAGACGTGTTATTAGACCACGACACACGCGTGTTATTAGACCACGATACACGCGTGTTATTAGACCACGATACACACGTGTTATTAGACCACGACACACACGCGTTATTAGACCACGACACACACGCATTATTAGACCACAACACACACGTGTTATTAGACTACGATACACGCGTGTTATTAGACTACGATACACGCGCGTTATTAGACCACGACACACGCGCGTTATTAGACCACCATACACGCGTGTTATTAGACCACGACACACACGCGTTATTAGACCACGATACACGCGTGTTATTAGACCACGATACACGCGTGTTATTAGACCACGATACACGCGTGTTATTAGACCACGACACACACGCGTTATTAGACCACGATACACACGTGTTATTAGACCACGATACACGCGTGTTATTAGACCACGACACACGCGTGTTATTAGACCACGATACACACGCGTGTTATTAGACCACGACACACACGCGTTATTAGACCACGACACACACGCGTTATTAGACCACGATACACGCGTGTTATTAGACCACGATACACGCGTGTTATTAGACCACGACACACGCGTGTTATTAGACCACGATACACACGCGTGTTATTAGACCACGACACACACGCGTGTTATTAGACCACGACACACACGCGTGTTATTAGACCACGATACACGCGTGTTATTAGACCACGACACACGCGTGTTATTAGACCACGACACACGCGTGTTATTAGACCACGATACACGCGTGTTATTAGACCACGACACACGCGTGTTATTAGACCACGATACACACGCGTGTTATTAGACCACGACACACACGCGTGTTATTAGACCACGACACACACGCGTGTTATTAGACCACGATACACGCGTGTTATTAGACCACGACACACGCGTGTTATTAGACCACGACACACGCGTGTTATTAGACCACGACACACACGTGTTATTAGACCACGATACACACGCGTTATTAGACCACGATACACACGCGTTATTAGACCACGACACACACGTGTTATTAGACCATGACACACACGTGTTATTAGAACAAGATACACACTTGTTATTAGACCACGATACACACGTGTTATTAGAACACGATACAGACGTGTTATTAGACCACAATAAACACTTGTTATTAAAACATCATGTTATAATAACATTTATGTAATACAGAATTCACCGAACACATTGATGCTACATAAGTCCAGTCGGATTCATTTGAACCCCTTTGGGTTACCGTGACCTGGACGACCGAGAGCCTTCAGCAGCACATTGATGTCGTTTCCACAACCTCACCCAAGTCCTGTTTTCAGTGTGTCTGTGCCCTGGCTAGACCTTGCTGCTCTAGTTGGAGCACTGCTGAGTGCTTTTTGAAAGCCTCTGCTCTAACCCCAATCCCACACCCTGGCCCTGTTCCAGCTGCTTCTGTGGGTTCGATCAGGAAACGTGTAAATTCAGTCATTTTGATCTTAAACTAATGAAATCACACAAACTCATGTGTAGACCAGTCAGTGGACCCACTGGTTTTGTATCCTTATTAAAGGTTTTACTTGTCATGATGATGGGGGAGGTCGTCCCACAGCAGACCCTCTCTGGCCTCACCTGAGCTCGCTGACTTACAGCGAGCGGCTGTTTTAGTACCAGGAGAGGTTTGGTCTGCGTCTCGGTCTTTAGCAGGTGTTCAGGCTAGTTGATGTTCCTGATCCGTTTATCGTTGACAGAACCGCTGGTTCGACACCCAGACTTCCGTCTCTTTGCCTGCATGAACCCAGCGACTGATGTGGGGAAGAGAAACCTCCCTCTGGGCCTCAGGAACAGGTATGGATGTGCTCCAGAACCCTGTAGTAGACTCCTCGTTTAACCCAGGTCAGACCGGGGGGGGGGGGGGGGGGGGGCTACAGCATCAACACCCCATTAGCTTTACATTTGCTTCTCCTCAGAGGGGTCAGCAGATGAGGTTCATTCAAGTCTCCTGACCTGAGACCTGTATGATCCAGACCCAGGATTTTATCATCATACGTGTTGGTTTGACTCCTCCAGGTTCACAGAGCTGTTTGTTCAGGAGCTGGAGAGCGAGGCGGACCTCAGGATCCTGGTTTCAGATTATCTCAAGTCTCTAAACCCACAGAGGAGCATCATCAGTGGAATCATCAGGTCAGCCTTCCATCATAGTCTAGATGATCACAGCAGGCCTTTGTTGTTGAGATGTAATCTCCTGTAGATGTTTCTGAACCGGCCGTATGATGTTAGCTATAACCATGACTGGGCACATCCCAGTGAGGAACCAGAACCTCAGGAGTCCTGGGTGTGCTCCGTTCTCCAGAGATGTTTGTTTCTGTCCCTCTGGGAGCTGGAAGCCTTCTGCACCGAGTGAGGAAGCCTTTCCTTACTCGTGATCTTTCTGTGGTAGTTTCTACCTGGCCGTGAGGAAGGAGGCTGTGTGTCACCTCATGAACGGGACCGGCCACCGGCCCCACTACAGTCTCCGGACCCTGTGCCGGGCTCTGAAGTACGCCGCCGCCGACCCGTGTTGCAGCGTGCAACGCTCGCTCTACGAGGTATGCCCCCCCCCCCCAAACCCAACCCGGTTCTGTCTGACCTTCTCATGTCGCTCTCAGGGTTTCTGCTTGAGCTTCCTGACCCAGCTGGACCGGAGCTCCCACCCTCTGGTCCAGAACCTGGTCTGCCAGCACATCCTGAGGGGGAACACCAAGTGTCTCAGACAGGTACCAGTTACAGCACTTCTCACTCTTACTGTGTTCTTTCAGCTTTGATGTCTGCAGCTCAGGCCCCGGGTTCCCCCCAGCGCCTTGCCCCGCCCCCACCCCCACCCCGCTCTCACGGAGCAGCGCGGGGCAAATGATTGATTTGACCTCTGATCCAACACTGGATGTATTCAGGGTCAGATGTGTACGGCTGTAGCATGTAGACAAGGTCAACCGTGGCTGACCCTGACCTCTGACCCCTGAGAAATCTGCATTAGCAAACCCGTAAAAGGTCCTAAAAGTCGAGTCGTAATAATAACGTTGCACCTTCATTCCAGTAGTGAGGGTTCAGTCTAGTTCCTGTTGAGCAGAACTGGGGGGTCCAGACCTGAACCAGAACCGTATGGTTGAATCTTTATTTGTGATGTCATCCAACCGTTTCCTGCTGTGTTCTCCCTGCAGCCCATCCCAGCCCCCCCAGGTCGACTCTGCATCCAGATGGAGGGTTACTGGGTCCCACAGGGGGAGATGGAGCCACACCCAGACCCCAGCTACATCCTCACCCCCTCGGTGAAGCTTAACCTGCACGACCTCGCCCGAGTGGTTTCTGCAGGGTAGGCAGCTGTTCCTGAACCTCACTGAGACGCAGGAACTAACGACACCCCCAGAGCTAACAGCACCACAGGAAGCCTCAAGTACCTCCATCACCTTTCAGCCTATTTCTGCTGAAAACCAGTCAAGATCCGGGTGTGGGGCTGTGGCGGGGGTTGATTCCTGCCGAGTTCCCCAGTGTTATAACACGTTTATTATTATTAGTGTTATTGTTACAAAAATGACAACACAGTTTTAGTTCAGGTGAGCTCAGGTTTTGTTTCCTACCTGAGGCTGACGCAGGAACAGCTGCAGGTGGCTCAGGGGTCAGCAGTTCACCCTGTAACTGGTGGGTTGCGGGTTCGAGTCCAGGTTACATAAAGTAGTCTAAAGGGGTGGCTGTGATTCCTTTATGTCACTAATCATTTCACTTACAGTCAGTCTGATTATTGAGGTCACCAAGCAGAACCGGATCACTACTGAGTGACTTTAAGCACTTTTTACTCAACATGCTAGTTGGATCCATTCATTTACTGTGTTTTATGCTAAGCTAAAGCTAAAGGAGTGCCGCCGGGTCAGGAGAAGGACTGGGCTGGTTAATAATAACCCCACTGATCCAGAGCTGGGAAACCTGTCAACAGATGTGTGTCTGAACTCTGTTTATAACTTTATTATTATTTAAACAAATTCAGAATCGTTGGTAAAGCTGGGCCCGTGCGTTTGTGTGAGGGGCTGGTCATGTGACGTGAGGGTGGGGATGTCTCACCGAAGCGGAGACGTGATGTAGGGGGTGTGGTCCGCTGCGTAGACGTACAGACGTAAAGTACTCATTAAACCAGCAGCTCAACCAGCCTTGAGAGCAACCCAGAACGTTCTCCAGGCTGGTTTTATCTAACACGTGTTTAACTCCATAACATCACATTAAGGTTATAAAATAACTTGGAGCACAAAATCTTCACTTTTACTAAATACGGTGGAAGCAAAAAGGGATCCACCCCACAACAAGAACTACTACATCTAGTACTGGTATGAGCACCGTGACTCGAGCACAGCACCAAGTCTTCTAGACATGGAACGGACAAGATGGCGACTTATTGCATCATCTGTCTGTTTCCATTCTTCAAGAAGGACCTCCTTTAGAGCCTGGATGCTGGATGGAGAGTGATGCTCTTCCTGCTGACAGCATGAAATGGGAGGGGCTAGTGAAGTAACGCCCTTTTATAGTCACCTGTCTGCTGGACACCTCTTAGATGAACCATTAGACTCACCTGTGGTTGAACACCTGTTCATTTGAATTTGTAGTCTTGAGTCTTTCCTCCTAAGACTACATCTGGGGTGTACTCATGTATGCAACATGGGCTTGAATGGATCTGTTAGGAAAATCACTTTAGTGTGAAAATGAACAAATGTTGTTGGTAATCGATGGCCCACACCTGTGGGAGGGTTCTGTAGTATGGTACCTCAGAGAAGATGCTGGTTCTGGAAGCAAACTAAAGCTTCTCTGACTATGGGGCGACGGTGGCACAGGAGTTAAGAGCTCGCCTTGCAATCGGAAGGTTGCAGGTTCGAGCCCCGCTCAGTCTGTCGCTGTCGTTGTGTCCTTGGGCAAGACACTTAACCCACGTTGCCTGCTGGTGGTGGTCGGAGGGACCGGAGGCGCCAGTTCTCGGCAGCCTCGCCTCTGTCAGTGCGCCCCAGGGCAGCTGTGGCTACATCGTAGCTCATCACCATCAGTGTGTGAACGTGTGTGTGAATGGGTGAATGACTGATTGTGTTGTAAAGCACCTTGGGGGGTTCCAGGACTCTAGAAGGTGTTATATCAAATACAGGCCATTTACCATCTAATGTAGAGGGGTGTACTCATTTATGCCGAGCACCGGTAAATATTAATGTTGATATCTGATCTGAACATTTTCTGCCTCTCTGAGGTTCATCTAACCGGTGCTGGGGTCAGAGGTCGTACAGACAGACTCCAGTGTTTGTCCATCAACCCCTCTCCTGACTCCCCACAGGACTCACCCGGTGCTGATCCAGGGGGAGACGTCCGTAGGGAAGACCAGTCTGATCCGCTGGCTGGCTGCAGCCACGGGGAACAGGTGTGTGAGGATCAACAACCACGAGCACACCGACATCCAGGAGTACATCGGCTGCTACTCGTCCGACGAGCGGGGCAAGCTGGTGTTCAACGAAGGTACAGGAGACTCGGCCGGTCACTAAAAGCTCTTTCAGGCTGATCCTAGGTCAGTCCTGAAGGGGCAGGCTTAAGAAACGGGGGATTCTAGTGTGTTTTCCGTCTGCCAGTCCCGGCCAGGCCTTTAGATCCCTAGCAAGCTCAGTTCATGGTTCTGGTCCATTCCAGGAGTTTTGATTGACGCCATGAAGAAAGGCTACTGGATCATCCTGGATGAGCTGAACCTCGCTCCCACCGACGTCCTGGAGGCTCTGAACCGGCTGCTGGACGATAACAGGGAGCTGTTTGTAGCCGAGACCCAGGAGGTCATCAAGGCTCATCCGCGCTTCATGCTGTTTGCCACCCAGAACCCCCCCGGGCTGTATGGTGGCAGAAAGGTACGTCACACTGCAGCAGGAACATCTGGGGGGGGTCTAAAACCATCTGTTGGACTCTTCTTCTGCTGTCCAGGTTCTCTCCAGGGCCTTCAGAAACCGCTTTGTGGAGCTCCACTTTGATGAACTTCCCAGTGGAGAGCTGGAGACCATCCTTCACCAGAGGTGCAGCTTACCTCCATCCTACTGCACCAAGCTGGTTAGAGTCATGCTGGATCTCCAGGTAACACCTTGCCTGTAGCTCACCTGTTCTAGGTGCTCCTGCTGCAGGACTAACATGCATGCATCCCTCCAGTCGCTACGGAGAGGCTCTTCTGTGTTTGCGGGTAAACACGGCTTCATCACGCTGAGAGACCTGTTCCGCTGGGCGGAGCGCTACCGGCTGGAGGAGCAGACGCAGGCCTCTCAGGACTGGCTGCAGCACCTGGCTGATGATGGTGAGGCTCATCAGACCCGATCAGGAGCGTCTCTGTCACAGCGACTGGTCTAAATCCAGCTGGTGCTTCCCCGTCAGGGTTCATGCTGCTGGCTGCTCGCGTGAGGAAGCCGGAGGAGGAGGACACCATCCGGGCCGTCCTGCAGAAACACTTCAAACGTGCCGTGGACCCCGAGAGTCTGTTCTCTCTGAAACGTGTCAGCTCCCAGTTCAGTGAGTAGACCCGTAGTCTCCTAATCCTAACGTCAGATTAGACCAACGCCCGGCGTCTGGAGATCATCTCTGGAGAATATAGACGGGGTTCAAGTAGGAGAGCGAGTGATGAACAGAAACGTAACAGCCGAACTCAGAGGAGTACGATAATAAAACCTGGAAATGGAGTTAGAGATGCTGGAGAGGACCCTGTTCTGCTAGAGGGGATTAGAGTCGGCCCTGGGACAAGCGGAGCAGCTGAGCCGGGTGTAGAACTACAGGAGATGTTTAAAACTAGAACGAATCAATAACAGAACAAAGAGGTGGAACGTGGTTCCTACAACTGGACTGGAGCCCACGGTTCCACCAGAACATCAGCTTGTTTGATAATCCCAGAACTCTGGCTCGATCCGGCAGGCTCTCGTATCGACTCGGTGGCCGACGTTCCAGAGGAGTTCCGTCATGTGGTCTGGACCGGCGCCATGAGGAGGCTGGCTGTGCTGGTGGGTCGGGCTCTGCGGTTCGGAGAGTCAGTCCTGCTGGTTGGAGACACCGGGTATGATCCAGATGTTTCAGATTATGCTGCAGATGCTGAATGTGGCGTGAACCTGTACACGTTGTCTCCCCAGATGTGGGAAAACCACCATATGCCAGCTGTTTGCTGCACTAGCTGGGAGGAAGTTCTTCTCTGTGAACTGTCACCTGAACATGGAGACGTCTGACTTCCTGGGAGGCCTACGACCCGTCAGACACGCTCAGCAGGTATCACGTCAGTCGCTGCTGTCCTCACACACCTGCAGCTGTCATGACTAGGACTCTGGTTCGTTGTCATGACTACAGCGTGGTGCTTGAACACCATCATCATCTTTATTTCTGTAGCACTTTGCGTCCACCAGGAGGCAAACCGAAGCGCTGTACATGTGTAGAACATGTAAAGCATCACTGACCCATTCAGTGGCAACAATAAAACACACCCTCCTCTCATCTACCTGCTGTTTGGACACCCGCCAACTACCTTCCTCAAACATGGTTTTAGCTGCTTGAAACGGATGTACTGAAAGTCCTGAACTGCTGCCTAATGTCAGGCGTGTTTCCTAAGCCACTGAAAACTGCTGCTGTTCAGCCTCTTCTAAAGGAAACGAAATTCGATCCTTTAGTGATGAATAACTACAGACCGATCTCTAATCACCCTTTCATTGGGAACATTATTGAAAAAGCTGTTATGATCCAGCTGAACAACATTTTAGAGACAAACACCCTATTAGATGGTTTCCAGCCAGGCTGTAGACGACACCACAGCCCTGAGACCACACTGATCACATGATACTCATCTAAATCCAGATTCAGGCTAAACATCTGTCCTGATGATGCTCCATCTCACGGCAGCTGTTGATACTGAGGACCACAACATCCTTCCTGGTAGGCTCCCAACCTGGGCGGGGCTTTCAGGCACATTGCATGGTTATCTTGAAGACGGGGGTTATGTTGTTTTTATTGGTGATCACAAATCAAAGCTGATCACCATGACATGTGGGGTCCCCAAGGCTCAATTCTTGGTGTCGCGTGCCCGTCCCATTTACCGGTTCCTTTAAAACCCAGTTCCGTTAGAACTTATGAGACGGTGCATCCATCAGGGTTCGGGGGTGTATCGACGAGTATAATTGTACTAGACCCGGGTTTGGACTACCTAATTAGAATCTTGTCTTTTATTTTAAAGGTGAAATGACTTGCACGAATAGCCAGCCCCAGAGTGCTACACTTCTTTTAAACTCGTTACCTTTTGGTTAAGATACTAGAGAGAAGTCTGGAGGCAAGCCAAGCCTCTCAGCAATTGTTTGGGCTACCCGGAATTAATTGCGCCTCTAACAGCTTATGTGGGAGGTTGGTAACTATAAAATGATTTATGCTAGTTGATCAGGCTACCATAAGTTTATCAATTTATTTATTAATCCAACCTTCCAGCTGATTAGAGACTTTTTCAACCTGCAATCAGAGCCAAAATAACCTCGAATATTTTGCTTTTATCGCCCTTAAGACAACTCGTTACTCGCAAGGAGGGGGAAGTTAAAACTTCCCTTATCTTAAGGTTTCTTTATATTATTCTGTTATAAATTGTAAAGTAAGTCCTGATAATTCAGAGACCGATCTTCGACATGCTTACCTCTGTGCAATTATGGCCAGGGCTCCAAACGTGAAGCTTTAGAGAAAACCTGAAAGAATCAGGATTATGTTTCTTTTTCAAAAAAGTTTTATTACAAAATCAAAATACAAAAAATGGGTAAAGTGAAAAACAACTGCTATCCCCCACGGAGGAATTAGTTCAAAATGATTAAATAAGAGTTAGTTTACACCAGCTCTCGTCTTCTCAGAATCTCCCCAAGAACCAAGCCCTGCTCGATCTGAGCTGCATCCTTTTATATCACTTCTGAGACTGCTCTAAACAATGTAAGAGTCACAAGTCATTCTCTCCTGACAGTTTAGGTCAAGGGGTCATTTACCAGATACACTTTTTTAGCTCTACATAAGACATTTAGTATCATTTCACTACATGCAGTATTCACATGAGGGCACAAAAGTTACATTCTGCACTCCTGGAATGAGAGCACAGGTCATAAATCTTCATGTTGGTAGCAAATTGTAGATCTTCCTCCAGCATTCCTGAGAGCTTCTGGGTCCAGTTGGACTTTCCTCACTCCATTCCAGTCCTTCTTTTCCCGCCAGAGGTGGAGTTAGGGGCGGGCCCAGGGGTGTGTCCATGGGTGGATCCAGAGAGGACAGGCTGTCTTTTGACCCTTTGCCTAGTTCTGTCCTCACCAGCAAGTCCTGAACTATTGTCCTCTTGACCCTTGTGTGACCCTTGTCTCTGACCACTGTTTCTAAGCCTTGACCGGTTGCTCGGACTTGCAACATTGGACCACTGCTCTTGAATCTCTGCATGCTCCCCCTGGGTCAGGTCATAAACAACTACAATACTGCCTATCATAGTTATGCAGATGACATCCAGATCTACCTAGCTCTGTCACCTGGTGACTGTGGGCCCCTATACTCACTCTGTCAGTCTTTGGAGTAACTCCAGGACTGAAGTTATTGTCTTTGGAGATCAGAAGGATAGGATGGAGGTTATTGCTCAACGTTTTGTAAGTGGTCACAATTAATAAACTGTCAATAAAACAAGAAAGATATCTCACAAAGTATGATGTTCCCTTAAATTATGAATCACTGATCTTGTTGGCTCTTTAATATCTGACTGACGCTGGAAATAGGCCCTTTGGGAAGCCAGTGAACCAACACTTAAAGGTTGACCCAAGGAACACGGACACTCTGGCGACCTCTGGTGTTCAGAGGTGGTATTGCAACAACGGGACTAATTTTCCAGGGTTGTTGGTTCACTGCTGACACGTGCCAGCACCGTGTTTAGAGACAAATCGTACAGGAAAAGGACTCATTTCTACTTATATGTTTATTTTATAACAGTATTTACCGTTGGAACATCTGGGCTCAGAGTCAGCTGCTTGACTTGTTCGCCATTTTTCACGTCCCAACCTCGCCTTGGTGGGTGGCCTTTTTAGTGCAGTAGTGCCCTCTAGTGGCTGGTAGGTGTAAACATGAACCCGGTGCTGTGCCCGACAGAATAAAAATGAGATTATTTATCTTAGTAAATAAAGCTTTAAAGTAGGAACGCACGTTTTCCTAAATGTCTTTAACGCACACAAACGTTTGCGTCCGCTCTATAAATAATAAAACTTTTCCCGTCTACTCTTTAATGTAATTCTGACGCCCAGCTAAAGTCCCACACCCGTTACATTTATGAACAAAGAGTAAGAGAGCGGGACGACAGCTGGAATATCCGTCAGGTCTGACGGCAGATGCATGGCGCAGCTTGTGATTGTATGTTTATGAGAGAATTCTGGTGGCCATGGTTAAAAAAACAGTCTTCTTACATTAAACTAAATAATTACAGACATTTCTTTATTTTACGTGATAAATTAGGAGTCAGAATCAAGCAGGAGCGTCATGGCAACCTGACCTGTTCCTGGTCTCGGTTCAGTTTGCTGCACCACGTTCTGCCAGGCTCGGCGCTGCCATGTGACGCTAACGGCAGTTACCCGTTTAACCGGTTAACTAGCACATCCCTCCTTTAAAAGGAGAAACTACGTCAGATCTGCACACCTCTAAAGGCCCCGTGGATCAGGGGCGTGTCCAGGGAGTGGCCTGGGGTAGCACATGCCACCCTTGGAATCTGACTGGCCACCCCAGGTGCCACCACACTAATTTACCTTTAAATAGGCTTTTCATTGTCCACAAAAGACTTGGGGGTAAAACAAAAAAAGCATAACCATTGGTGCCACCCATGCACAAAGTTGTGCCTCACCTGGGCCACCCCATTTTAAAAGATCTGTACACGCCACTGCCGTGGATGTATAGTTATTATTATTATTTTATATAGCTTTCTATTAAAGTGTTCCATATTCTAACTTTAATAATAACTGGACTTTTAGCTTAGTCACAACCAGCCCACCGTTCAGCTCTTCTACTCATTCAGTTAAAGGAGCCGTCGTGTTTCGTTTTGGTCCGTCAGAAAATGTTCAGGCAGGGAAAAGGTGCCGAGAGACTGAATGGTTTTTGTGTATCAGATTCCCGAGTTCATCCCCGGATGTGGAAAACTCTGGCTGTGGTCCAGTTGTGTCTGTAGACTGAGGCTCATGTGTTTGTGCAGATGGAGGAAGAGGATGTCAGGCTGTTTGAGTGGCATGATGGGCCGCTGGTGCTGGCCATGAAAGAGGGAGGAGTCTTCCTCATGGACGAGATCTCCCTGGCAGACGACTCGGTACTGGAGAGGCTCAACAGGTACATCACACTAGGGGTTAAACGGGGGTGATGGGGCGATAGGATAGAATAAATGTCAGACACCAAATTCCTAAAGAAATGAACCTTTCAGCGGGCTCAACGACCTCGTTCACACTACCGTTTGTTTGTTTGTTTGTTTGTTTATGCACTTGCATTTTAGAAGGATGAGAACCACCTGAGACGAACCTTCTCTGTTTCAAGTGTGTCCTCCATAGAAATACACAACGTGAATAAAAGACCAAGAGAAACAACATTTTCTATGTGGAAATGGGGATCAGTGGGGCAAAAACCCAGAAGCATGAAATAACTAACAAATCAATAATCAGATCAATAGAAAATAAACACACGTACATGCAAACGTAGAATAAGAGTACTGTGCATG